TAGAGGCAGATGAGTTGGGTGGGAGGTGGAGGTTTTGGGGGTAATGGGGAAGAAACAAAAGAAGGGAGGAAAAGACTTTGACTCTCATCCTGTGATGAACTGGTCACTGGATCATGCAGAGGAAGCTGAAGTGCTGAGTTTCACTCAGCCCCGATCAAAGGAAACACTCGATGATTCAAATGTCATTTAAATGTTTTATGGTAGTCAGAGCTTTGAGTCGAGGCTTGAAGAAGACGAGACTCAAGACAGCTATAAGTCAGATAAGATGATCGTAATAGGTATGTGTGTGTGTGTGTGTGTGTGTGTGTGTGTGTGTGTCAGTATATATCATTCTTAACTCTGACCTCACATTCATTTTGCTAGTGTCCATAATTCTCCTGATTGTTTAGTCAGTCTAAATCCATCTAAATCACACTGCACACTGATAGTCAGTCACTGAATTCATTATCAGCTGCTGAAGCTGCACCATGCGCTCACATCTACACAGAAAAGACCAATACACAACTGTGAACACGGAAACAAGATATGAGAGAGATGACGCATGCAGCATGCGCCCACATCATGCGCCCACATAGCTACGTACACACCTATCTAAATATCTTACTAGTATGCCAAACAGAATAAAAGCTGATTATTTGTACCACTACAAGGGATTTATATATTTATCTATATATATTTATATGCTCTTTATATTTGTGCGCACAATGGGTTAACTTGTGCAGGAAGATGAGGAAATGGGAGGGGCCTCAGAGTGAAAGAGAAACTGAAAGGAACAAAGTAGCTGCACAGTTTTAACGGTCTTTTATGCTGCTGAAAGTCGAGTAAAGTCTTGATACAACAGGTAATTTTGCAATTTCTTTTAAGTTTCTTGTCTTTCTTCTTTGTCTTACAGGTTAGGTAGGTGGTCAGATAGTTAGGAAAACATTTTAAAGACAAACAGTTTCTTGGTAATCTCACAGTTAATATTGAAACTCTGACTCTGACTTTCACTATCTCTCCTTCTAGACATGGCCTCTCCTGCAAGTCTAATAGCCGAGGTGAATTTTCATTGCTCCATCTGTCTGAGTGTGTTCAGTAAACCGGTGTCGACTCCCTGTGGGCACAATTTCTGTTTTGATTGTATCACAGGCTACTGGGACACCTCAAACCCATTAATATCATGTCCGCTGTGCAAAGAGGAGTTTAACATCAGGCCAAAGCTTGGGGTTAATCATTTCATCGCCGAAATGGCAGCAAAGTTCAAGAAATCAGTTCAAGAAAAGTCTCTTAATATCACAGAAGAATCAGGAAATGGAAATGTGCTCTGCACCCTTTGCACCGGGGCGAGGCGCCCGGCCCTGCAGTCCTGCTTAGTGTGCATGATGTCCTATTGTCAGATACATCTCGAGCCTCATCAGAAACTTTTGGCTTTAAAAAAGCACAAGCTCATTCACCCGGTTGAAAACCTGGAGAGCAGGATCTGCAAAGATCACGGTGAACCTTTAGATTTGTTCTGCAGCGTGGATCAAATGTTTCTCTGTGACTCCTGCAAAGACAGGGACCATAAACAGCATAAGATAGTGACTCTAGAGGAGGAGGCTCTAATGAGGAAAGACCAGCTGGACTCAGAAAAAAAAGACGCGAATAAGATGATCGATGAACGTCAGCAGAAAATTCGGGAAATTGAACGCTCGCTGGAGGCTAACAACAATAATGCAGCGCAGGCACTGTCATGCAGCGGAGATGTGATGACTGCGATGGTGGAGTACATTAAAAGAGGCCAAGCTGAGCTGGCGGATGTAATTGAGACAAAGCAGGAAAGAAAGCAAGCAGAGGCAGACGGCTTAATTAATGAACTGAAGGGTGAAATTATGCAAATAACCCAGAAAAGCCAGCAGCTTGACAGCATTTCGGTCACAGACGACCCCTTCAGATTCCTGGAAAGTTACCTTTCACTTACCATCATTCCACCTCGAGTAAAGGACTGGTCTGACGTGAGTCTCAGCTGTGACCCGTTTAAAATGCAGGAAGTTATGGCCTCGCTGGAGGCAACGGTCACAAGAGAAATAAGAATGCTCTGTGATCCCAACTTTAAAGAAGTCAGGCGGCACGCTGTGGAGCTGACGCTGGATCCTGACACAGCAAACTCTTATCTCTATATTTCTGAAGACGGGAAGCAAGTCGCGTGGGGAACCCAGAGGAGGCGCGTCCCAAACAAACCAGAGAGGTTTGATTGTGTTTACAATGTTTTGGCAAGAGAAGGTTTCGCCTCAGGAAGATTTTACTATGAGGTTCAAGTAAAAGACAAAACCCAGTGGGACTTGGGAGTTGCAAAGCAATCCATCAACAGGAGGGGGGATATAAGACTGAGTCCAAAGAATGGATACTGGACAATTCGGCTGAGAAGGGGAGATGAGTTCACAGTTAACACAGACCCTCCTGTGAATCTTCATGTGACGGAGGTACCTGAAAAGATCGGGGTGTTTGTTGATTATGAGGATGGTCAGGTTTCCTTTTATGATGTGGACACGAGGGCTGGCATCTTCTCCTTTACTGGATGTAACTTCACAGAGAAGATCTTTCCCTTCTTCAGTCCGTGTGCCTCTAATGGGGGTAAAGACTCCGCCCCGCTGATCATCACTCCTGTCAGAAACAACAAGTGAGGTTTGAAGGGGTTGACGTGGTGAGTTGGACTTGGCGAGTGATTCCAACACGATTCCCCCTCTAAAACTGCAGCCTGTCATTTTGTTTCTTCCCTCCATCATTGTCAGCGCTGTGTGTCGTAATGTGTTACCTGGAAGACAACTTCATGTCTATGCCGTCCCTGAGACGTTCACTATCTGCTGCCCTCTGTGCAAAAGTGATGCTCTGAAGCATTACATGTTTCAGGGTTAAATAAATGGTCTTTAGAATAGAATAGAATAGAATAGAATAGAATAATCCTTTAATTGTCCCACAAGGGGAAATTTGGTTGTAACAGCAGCCAAAAAGACAAATATACAAACAAACAGTTACAGGACACGGAACAGAAACATACACAATTTTTCTTACATATTTACATTAAGGACAATGGTTACTATAAACAGAGAGTACTGTACAGTTATTCAATTAAATAAAAATAATTACAGGTAAGAGGCAAACCAGGTTGTAGTGCGAATTGGTTAATTAACTAACTTATTGCAGTTACTGCACTGATGTAAACATCCATGTTTGTTGGGAGCAGTTCTGATTGTACAGTCTGACAGCTGCAGGGAGGAAGGAGCTGCAGAAACGCTCCTTCATGCATCAAGGATGCAGCAGTCTGTCACTGAAGGAGCTCTGCAGTTCAGCAACAGCCAAACTTTATGAGCCAAAGTGGCTGTAGCAGTGTAAGGGCTACTGTAAAGTACTGCCTTCAGAATTTTTTTCAGGCATGTTGCGTCTGTTGCATCTGAATTTTGGGGTCATGACTTAACAATAACATACAAAATCCATTGAAATAAAATGACGGTCAGTTTCTCTCACATGATGCTAGATAATAATGAATTTCTCCATCGATTAATGTCAGTGAATTAAAATGTAAACTTTCAGCAGAACACACAATGCTCTGCAGAAGCTGCTTAGAGACAGTTTAAAATGTAAAATGTGAGCAAATGAAATGTATAAATTAGTCTGTTTTCTCTTGTCGGTTTAAAAACTTGTTTGTTTTTTAATCATAGTTTATAAATGTGTATTTTCTATACTACAGTGCTATAATGTCTATAGTCACTAAAGAGGTTTACTGTAGGACAGATCAATCAATTCTGACTGTTTGACTGCTTCTTAATGTTGAATTTTAACTTTATGTCTTTGTATTTCTTGAAGCACCAACTTGATACACGTTTAATAATTGATGCCAAAACATTATATAAAATATTTAATGATCAACTGACTGATTGATGACTGATTTTTGAACATTTTTTTTTGCCTTTTGTCGTTCCTTTAATGATTCGATATTACATGTACTGCATATGATATGTGAAATCTGTGAAAAGCATGCACACTATGGTCTGTTTCTCTTGGTTACATTTTCTTTAGGCATTCACTCAACAAACATTCATATAAACTAAATCCTGCTGACAGATATTAAAAGCAATCAAAATTGAATTACTACAATATGCAATTAAAGTGCATCTGTCACTTTGCAGAATGAAAACACAAATTAGACTCTTGACAGTTTTACGTTCCCACATCATACACTTAGTCATTTTGTAGCCACTACTTCCAAAGTAGCATCAAGTTTCTCCCCTGGAGTCATTTGAAAAATCCAAATATTGTTAATCCTGCGCTTCACAAATACAGAGATAAGATTTTAATTGTTATTACATACACAGCTGTGCTCCAAATGACAGCATGGTATTTCCAAAATGTGCTCGTGTCGCATGATAAAATCACTTGGATTGAAAACGCAGCTTTTTTCTGCCAGACACAATACTTCGATATTTTATTTAAGATGGAGGAGCATAAACATGTTGAAAACACATTTCAGAAGTATTCAAAAGTGCTTTCAAAATTAAGACAGCTTGTGCTTAATGTGCCAACATATATTTTCCAGATACTTCATATTCTAGTGTACATGTATGTTACTATAAATTGTAACCACTGGATTATGATTAATAATAGTACAACAGTAAATGAAGATGAGATAAGCTGGCCTTTATTAATTCTACAGTTTGGACATTATTACATTATTATTATTATTATTACAGCAGGAATAAAAAAAACAGATGCAGCAATAAAAAAAAATGATAGAAAAGAAAGAGTCTGATATTTTCACATGCCCAGTAACAACAAATGGAATAGACCATAGTGCAGTGGTTACATGTTAACTGCAAATGAAGTCTTATGACATACTGCAACACCATTCGTGGTTAAAGGGACTGGGTTTAGTTATTTCCTGTAGCTAAAATATACAGACCATCTCATACACAGGTACTCCTGCAAGCTAACAGACACCTGGCTGGGGCCTTTCTGTGGGGGGGTTGCATGTTCTCCCTGTGTTTGTGCAGGTTAGGTTAATTAGTTAATCTAAATCACCCATAGGTGTGAATATGAGTCCCAGTGGCTGTCTGTGTTAGCCCTGCGTCAGACTGGTGGCCTGTTCAGGGTGTACACGCACTATGGTAGCTGGGATGGATGGATGCACTTTAAATGCATACAGAAGTCATCCAATTTACATACCTTTAATATATGTCATGTCTGTTGATTGAATACCCAAGAAAAAGAATTCAAGAGAAACAGATAATGTCAGGTTCCTGTCAGCATTTTCAAATTAAAAGACTAGTCCTAGAGAGTGTGCAAAAAAGGCACAATCAAATTTTTGAAGCTGAACAAGAACACACTGTATTTGTTATTGATCCAGTGAATTTTCACCAGCAGAAACACATTGGCACACATCTACACACACATACTTTAAACACATACAACAGCCTTTTAGCTGCTCATTCTGTTCACTTGCTTTAATTCAGCCACAGCAGCAGTGCAGAGACACGGACGGCTGTGAAATGCTGATACCAATGGAAAAAGAACACTTCAAGCAGTTTGCACCAGGCCCCGAGGCAGCCTTTGTTTGCATTGTTTGAAAAGCGATGATAGTGAAGAGAAGTGCAACAATGAATAATGAAAAGCTGCATGTTCACAGTATTTTAATTACTCTCCAGTATT